AAATTTTATTTGCATCATGATGGGAGGTGTGCGAGGATGTCTGTACCCGCCGATTTGCTTCGGCGAGCTCGCGCACCATGTAGTCTTGAATGGCTACACGGTGTTGTTCAGGCTTCGCTATGAGCAGCAGCGACGTTACGAACATTTCACCAGACACCGCCTGGCGGCGGTGTAATGCCTGCCATTCCACAGTAAAAATGAGGGAAATTGGCATGCTCCAGCAAAACCGCTGGAGCAATCGATATTTCGTTTACGCTCATCTCGCACGTGGTCATGGGAAGGATTACTAAGTACTACCAGGTGTTACGAGGTGAGAGCCCGTTACCGTCTTACACTACAAGAATACTAGAGGAAGCGCTGCATTTATATAGGATAGAATTAACTGTTTACTTTTGTTTTGTTTCAATTCGTACTAAGTACGAAGGTGTTTCTCTTCTCGTGAAGCCACCAAAATTGAGTCGATTTACTATTCGTTAATTATTGGGTGTCGCACCCCAATAATATCCAATAGTAAATAACGTGCAATATTTGCTTTTTGAATACTGCATATACCTGCTTATATCCTTATGTAATGAAACCTATAGCTACCTAATATATATATACAATATTAGCTACTAGGATACTGTATATACCAACTTGTGTAATTAAGTAATAACTATAACTACTTAATATAATGATTTGCTTATTACAGTGGGGGCAGCCACCGAGGGGGCCACGAGATCCTTTAACGGTATTTGTGGCATAGTCCGCATGCTTCAGATCCGCCACCAGAAAAGATTACCAACTCTGGCGGTAGTCGATCAGCCATCGCAAGAGCTCCGCCAGTGCGCCCTCTTATGTTGGAGACCTTCACGCAACTGGACCACGAGATTTTTGAATTGTAATGCCGTCTCATAGAGTTTGCGTTGAATAAGGCGGTGCATGCCTCGACAGGCTTCACCCCATTCTATGTGAATGGTTTGGTCAACCCTCGCGTTCCTCTAACGCTACCTCCTGCCACATCAGGGCTTAGTGGGGGGAGAGATAGCCGAAGGCTTGGCTGATGTCAGCCCTGTTGCTATGCGCAAAAAGGTGGAAGCGTTTCTGTCAACGCGTTTTGACGTATTACGTCGCGTCAAAGACGCTGTGGCTGAAAGCCAGGATGTTCAGAAGAAACACCCGGATGCCAAAGGCAGGAAGAACGAACATGAGTTCAAAGTGGAAGATTTGGTTTTATTAAATGCTAGGAATTTACCTATCCGTGCCGTTTCGGCGGTATATAAAAACAAATTACGAACACGTCTTAATGGACCCTTTCAAGGTCATAGGAAGAAAGATCTAGCCTATACGCTGAACCTTCCGAAGAAGATGAGAACCCATCCTGTGTTCTACGTGGGCCTTCTTAAGCCATGCCTCAACCCGGCCACGGTGGACTTCGAGGGGTTGTCCCCGAATCCCCGGCCGAAGAAGGCGGGAAGTACTGCACCGGAGGTGCACATGGACGCTGGAGGCGTACCAAGAGGTCGATCTGACATCGCAGTTCGGCTTGAGAACACTCAATCACTGATAAGCGATCTGAGGTCTCAGAGAGATAACGCTCAAAAGACCGACGGTGTCGATCGACACGGTCATCGAGCGGTGACAGGTTAGACCTCACCGATCCAAGAGCATCACGCTCCAGGAGCGTCAGACAACGCTCAATCTCAGAGCGATGAGAGGTCAATGGGTCATCAACCTCCTCCGTCACTAATTGATGACTAGGGTCATCAACTGTTCCACGTGGAACGTCTCTTGGCTCGGCGTCGTCACCAGGGTCATACCCAATACTTGGTGAAGTGGAGGAGTTACCCCCACTCGCACAACTCTGGGAGTATGAGGTACCCCTCCGGTAGGATTGCCCTAACGCCGTTGACACTTTTGACAGGACGGTCAGAAGCGACGACAGCTGTCGTTCGACTCTTCCTAGCACTAGGTGCTGTGGAAGTAGGGTCAGTAGGCTGGCTTCGCCTCTGACCTTCAGAAGGAGGCAATGTCGGTGCATTATTCGAGTGAGAGGTACGGGCAACAGCTTCAGAAGCTTGTCCTCCACAAGTCTTTGACCTGTATGTGGAGGGTAATTGACGTTTCGCTTTGAGTTTAGCGAAGCTAAAACGTAGACGACGTTCCAACCAAACGTCTTGCGCTTAGCGCATAAGCGCAAGTTTGACAAATTTGAGAGCTTTCATGCTCGTTCTACCCAACAGGTGAACTGGTGAACATCTTGTGCAGATGTTTCACCTGGTTCAAGCACCACTGGTATGCCGTTTAGTAGGAGCACGGGCACTCCACGTGACTGTCGTGACAGTTGCTCCTGACACACTTCATCGTAAACTCCTGGGGAGTGAGGAGCCGCTCACGAAGAGCAACACTATCGGCATTCTCGCAGGCCATACGGGCATGGGACCCAATGATATAGGCTAGCAAAGATTGCAATGCCGCTCGTCGAGATTCCTCATTGGGGTCTCGGGGCACGAACTTATAATCACGTTGTGAAAAAACGTTTGTTTAGGCCGTGCCAAAGCGGCTGCTCGGGCCTCGTCATCGAGTTGACGACGCTGTGCAGCGCCAAGAGTGTTGGTTACCTCTTCGTCTGTACCCTCTCGCGAGGGAAGAGGAGGTGCTTGGCGCAAAGGGGTTGTCTCCCTTGTAGGGGAAGACACAGATTGGGATCGACGTCCCTCGATCAGTGAGCGTGATGATCTTGGGGTACTTTGACACGAAGGTGACTCGGCTCTGCCGCCCGTAGAGGCAACGTCACTGTCATCGTCGCCAAAAATGTCGTGACGCATTGCTTCATCCATGATGGAGCAAGCGCTATTGAGACAAGTGCTTTATCAAAGCAAGTGTTGTGAACAGTGTATTGCTAAAGCAAGTGTTGTGAACACTGTATTGCTTAAAAGCAAGTGCTAGGCACTTTGTGCTGTGAAAGTAAGTGTTCGTAAACACACAAAGGGCATTAATAATACCAAGTGCTTGGCACTTAACGCTTATAAGCAAGTGTCGTAACACTTAATGCTTTTGCGTGAGTGCGATGCACTATATGCTCAAAGAGTCAAAGAACGAGTGTAGTAACACAAGGTTGCTCATAAAGCGTGTGTGCAAGGCACGGGTGCTCAATGAGCAAGTGTTAAAAACGCAAAAGCTTTAGACGGAAGTGCAAGCACTTATTGCGAGGCAAGCAAAATGAGAAGAAAATGAAATCGATACCTCCAATCAAGTGCGAAAATTCGTGGGTACGTCGCGTCCCACGGATTACTGGGGGAGGGTGTAACGGGGTTACACGAAGGTGTGTATTTTACATACACACCTGCCACACCAATGTGGTGTGGCTGTACCTTGGGTACAAGAGTAGGCTTAATGTGACCGTACCTGAAGTACGAAGGGTCGCATCGTGGCAGAGACACGTGGTCACTATGCTTAGTTAAAGTATGGTGACTATGCATATTTGCATAATAAAAGGCTGAAGAGCCAGTAATAGTGACTAGCACTAAGTATAGGATAGGTGCTTCTATATTTAGTGTTAGAAGATAAACATAAATCAGTTTCAAACCTGTTCGATAAGCATCACTGCTAGAGCTTACTATTCCTCCTGAGGAATTATATCTTTAATACTAGTCTATCTGAGACTCGGTTGTACCAACCGATAGGCACAAGCTTACGAGCTAGCCTAGGAGGGATAAACACCCTAAGACGCAGAAGCTTTCTTAGCTTGCCTTTCTTTGCACAAAGTGCATACGTAGCTTTGCTACAGTAGTTTGACTACTTCTTCTGCACATTGTGCATAAGTAGTGGGCTACAGTAGCACAGCTACACATCATCAGTCGATGATCTTTGCAAAAGTATGGAAATTTGGAGCTTAAAGACTTGGAAGATTTCGAAAAGTTTTTAGGTAGGAGGATCGTAGGAGACCCTCAATATGGATACTTTATTGATCATGAGCTCACGATTACGGAGATGCTACAAATGATGGGTAAAGAGATGATTAAGTCGTGAGAACTCCCACTACAAGCATGGAAATGAGTGCAGGATTATATGACCCTTTGTCGTCACAATCACGTGGAGAAATGCTTTCGATAAAGAATTATTTCAATTACTTGTTGGCAGTTTATAGTGGATCTCGCGAGTTTCGAGGCCTGATATATCTTTTGCTTTACATTGGACCACCCGGCACACTCACGCGCCCACTCTGGCAGACTATAAGGTAGCCAAGCGTGTGGCTAGGTAGGTATTTTAAAGGTACTAAGAGTTTGAAACTGAAGTTGAAATGTGACGAATTATTAGCTACAGTAATGCAGATTTAGCTGCTGATCGCGAAGATTGAAAGAGTGTCAGCGCAAATGTATTTTTGTGAGCGGGATGATTGCAGGCTGGAACTGTAAGCAACAAGGCGCAGAAGCGGAGTTTGTGGCAGCCGCAGTTGGAGGAAGAGAGGAATAAGGCCTAAAGGAGCTTCTCGAAGATACTGGAGCGCAATCAAGGACGCCAATTGTTTTAAAGATTGATTACCAGAGGGCTATCAAGCAGTTAAAGAATGAAGCGAGTGCAGCTAGTGCAAAGCACATTGATGTCAAATTGAAGTTCAAAAAGGACTACGCCAACAAAGGAATCGTTGGACTAGAGCATGTAGCAAGCGGGGAGATGATTGCGGATTTGTTGACAAAGACTTAGCATGCGCCAAGAAGTGTGGAGCTTCGAACGAAAATTGGTTTGGAATGAGTGGCTTATAATCTTACGGGAACTATGGGTTACGAATGGACACAAGGGTGTGAAGTTGGAATGGATGCATATTGAATGTGAGACCTCGGTAATTTTTGGGTGTTGAAATTTGGCTTGGTGAGTTCAGTGTAGACTGAATTGAAAATTCAGTTAGCAAAATTACAGGGGCCACCCATGTTTTGTACGAATGACAATAAAACATTTCGTTAAGTATCACTTTTGCATGCCGAAAAAAGCGATTTGTCAGTTGATACAAACGTGTTCTCATGCACATGTCAAATTCACACGAACTACGTTTGGAACTGTTACCGCCCGGCTCACCAGCGTCATCTGCAGAAGACTATGCGCAATCTAATGCACATTCATCTGTAACAGTGCACAAGGGCGACTTAGGATGGGTAAGTGAGATGGATTTTATGCGTGCTGACACCCCAAGTCAACTGCGCCAACGGTTTATTCAGATTCAAGTGACAGACCGTACATTTAAGGAACCGTCCTGGATGCACCCGAATATTGGCGGTGAAGCGCAATATGTCAAAGGAAGATTTGATGAGATTGCTGCACTCAATGAGGAGCTGCAAACCAATGAGACGAAGAAAAAACTAGGAGAATGGACATCCACTTCCATTAGTGGCAATGCCATCCTGTCTAGTGTGCTCTTTTCAGCAGGGCAGACCATTGCCAAAGCTGGAAAATTGGCACCGGTCACGCAATTGCTCGTGGTCACGGTAGTCTACTGTCTTCGCTGGGTGTTTGAAGATGTTATGAGTGCTGTGCCGTTAAACGGAGGCTTCTATACTGCTATTTTGAACTCGGCACCGAAGAAAGTTGCTGCTGTGTGCGCAGTTTTTAGTATGCTCTCGTACCTATCGACGGCTGTGGTCAATGGTGTCTCAGCCATGAACTACGTCAATGATTCTTTGATGCAAATTCCAGTCATGTACTGCACAATCGGTTTGCTAGCCGTTTTCGCGCTGCTCTGTCTTATGGGTATCGCTGAAAGTGCTTTTGTTTCTTTAATCATTTTTATCTTTCACACCTTCACGTTGACCTTGCTGGGCATCTTCAGCATCGTTTACGTGTCGCAGCATCCCTCCATATTCATGGACAACGTGGTCACACGATTCCCTGAGGTGACAATGCTTGGCGGCGCTGATAATGCTAGTAATGTTGCTTCGGCTCTTTTCTTGGGCTATGGCACAGCGATGCTGGGAGTTTCGGGTTTTGAGAGCTCGTCGCAGTACGTGGAAGAGCAGGCAACGGGCATGTTTTCAAAGACACTACGCAATATGTGGGCATTTTCTAGTACATTCAATGTGGCTTACTCGCTGTTGGCATTGGCTGTTGTGCCTTTGGATACGATCATCTCACATCAGTCCACTTTGTTGTCGTATATGGGTCGTCTGAGTGGCGGCCATTGGCTGGAAGTTCTCGTAGCTATCGATGCCCTTGGTGTTCTTGCTGGTGCGGTACTGACGACTTATGTCGGCATTAATGGGTTGTTCCAGCGATTGGCAATCGACCGCATTTTGCCTAGCTTCTTGCTTAAGGCAAATGCGTGTCGTGGCACCAACCACTTTATTATTCTAGCGTTTTTTGTCGTGTGTGCGAGCCTTGTCTTTATCTTGGACGCTGAAGTGACGGTGCTTTCTGGTGTTTTTGCGCTTGCTTTCCTGAGTGCACTTCTATCTTTCATCACTGCGTGTGTGTTACTGAAGCTGTGTCGCGAGGAGATTCCACGCAAGAGAACAACATCGTGGTTTAACACAACTTTTTGTATGTGTATGGTGTTATCGGGCATCCTCGCAAATGCAATTTCAGATGTGAAGGCGTTGTCGTATTTCTTCATCTACTTCGCGGTGTTTTTCGTCGTGGTTTTTGTGATGCTAACACGGGTGAGTTTGCTGAAAGCATTCCTCTTTGTTTCGGGCAAACTTCTAGCATGCTTTCAAGGTGAGTTGAACCCTTCGCAACAGTCTTTATCAGGTAGTGTCATGATTGCCAAGACAATCGAAATCATCAAGAATACGCCGGTGGTTTTCTTCTGCAAAGCAGTGAATCTGCCGAAAATTAACAAGGCTGTGACGTACGTGATGCATAACGAAGACACGTACTGCTTGCGACTAGTGCACATATGTGAGGTAAATGCTCCTGTTCCACGTGAGTTTGAGCACGTGGTAAATCTTTTCGATCACATTTACCCGTCGATCAAGATTGATTTTATTGCTGTGACAGGAACATTTGATCCGGCGATGGTGCAGTGGCTGTCAAAGTCTATGGATGTTCCCGCTAATATGATGTTCATGAGTCAGCCAGCAAATGAAAGTATTCATCGGGTGTCAGCTCTGGGTGTGCGAATCATTACAAATTAATGAGGAACCAAAGTTCAATAGCTGTTAACATCAGGGCGCCTAAGAACTAGCTAGCAGTGTTGTCGTTGCTTAAAAACGCATGCGTTACAGTCAAGCTTCCAAACTACTTGGAGGACATGTGGCAAATATTATTTGGTGCAACTGCTTCGTGATGCAATGAATACGTGTGGCCTCGTGTCCTAGAGCGAAGCAAGCAATTTCGGGTGATGTCTCATGGAGAAAACATCTAATTTTAACCTAAGCATATCTTTGATGTGCATGAACTTTACTTAGATGTAGGACGTATTATACTTAACTTAGTTTGATATCGGTTCATCTCAGATTCATAAACTATATATATCACATTATGGTATGGGATGTGTTATTATATGCACCATCCAACTGTTATGACCACAACAGCGCCATTTTTGTGGTTAATTGTTGCACAAATTGCAAGTTAGGATTGACTTGAAGTTTGGACCAGATTGATAAATGATGCATTTGTGAAATTTTGTTTTGCAACCAAAGCACTTGTTCGTAGTGAAACTTGATAGGGCAGTCATCTGTGCGCGAATTAGAAGGGATATGTTACGTAATTAAGAGGGATATGTTACAAGTTACAAGAATAAAAGTTACAAGAATATAAACAGCTTTTCACAAGTGGAGCTCATTAGGCATCCGATCACTATTTATGATTGCAGGAAAGGCTGATTCACTGATACTTCGCTTTTTTGCTCACTTAATTGATGTCCAGTTGGCTTACGTTGTTGCATATCGCAGTCTATTCAATTTTATCCTAATCATCTGACGTACAAGACCGGCTTGATTACACAAGTTTGTATCAAATCAGGCATCAAATTGTGACCGAAGTACCAGATGACCCTCGAATTGGTATTGAAGTTTTTTCCCGCTTACATTTCTTGGCTCAATGTTCAATGTTAAATTCATAGCAAGAGATATAAACATCTGATCGCCATGGACCAGATTGATACGTTGTTCGTCTTTTGTGCAATCGTGCTTTTTTTGTTGAATAATAAGCTGATTACTGATTACGTAAGGTCAATCAAGTGCCATTATTTTTTACATTGCAAATCCACAACTAGTCAAGCAATGATGTGGTGGATGTGAGACTTTGCATTAATCATTTGACAAACCAAGTGACAATAGCAATTGAAAAACGCTCATCGTCATGTCCAATTTGAAACTTTTCATCTTTATCGTCTTTGCACTTTTGTTTACATTATCTAGTGGACATACAAACAACACGATCGTCTCGTGGCAATCTTTACGATTCCACTTCTCTGTCAAACGAACCGCCATGCAAGTCCATGGTCTATCTACTTTTTCCGTTCTCGCCACTCCCAATGTAGCTCTAAAGGACACCGCTAGCGTGCTTTACGATGCTTTCGCCACGTTCAAGGAAGATAACATGATGTACAAGTACGCGCTTGTGGATGGAGTAGCGTATGTTTCTCGCAGTTTACAGGAAAACGGCATGGACATTGTAGTAGTTGAGTGCTCACACGCCGACATTTTGTCGTCAATCAATTTGATGGTACAAGCACTGGGAGAGGCAGAGGCTGTTTCGACCATCACAACAAGCGATGGCAGCGTAGTTCCGTGCACGAGCAACGAATCCTTTAAAATATTGGTAAATGGTATCAAATATGGGGTGTGTTTTTACGGTCCTTCAGGATTTACGATGTTTGGCAGTGATATAGATGTAAAGGTGGAGTATGTAACAAATCACTTGCCGAGTCAGGCGCCAAGAATCGCAAGAAAGACGAAGAAAAGCTGTAAGAAGGTGGCATCGCCTACTTCTATCACGCCGATCGGAAAGTCTTTTTTGACTGGAGAGTCCATTTATAACGGAGAGAGAAGTCTGAATATTTTGGAAAAAATCATTTTGGGGGGATCGTGTCAGTGCCAATCGACGCCGCGTCCATGCATTTTTATCCATGGTCTCGGCATTTTGGTTGAAAAGGAAGAGAATCTCGACTCATTTAGCAGTTACTGGGGTAATCAAACAGACCACGCGCCATGCTGCTCGTCAACCGAGTACGCTATGCTCAACACGGTCAACAATTCGTGGGCTGACCAGTTTCAACAACAGAAAGTTTGTGATCGCATGTTGGCGGTAAGCGAGACCAGCAAAGAATCCGAAGTTTCTGACACCATTATTATTTCGCACTCGATGGGAAGTCTCATGATAGCTGGCGCAATTGCTAACAGCCAGTGCAAGCTCGCATCAAGCACCACATGGATCGCCATTGGATCGCCAATGCTAGGAAGTATGGCTTCAGACTACTTTCAAGAATCGTGCAAGGATCAGACAAATTTTATCATGGAAGAATATGTCGATTCGACGAGATTGTGCCCCGCAGACGACGGCATCAAATCTCTCGCGTATGAAAATGAAAGCTACAGTAACCCTACTCTGAATAAGCTGTACCAGTCTGCACAGAAGGCATACCGGAATAATGTGTACGCAGCGATGTGTAGCCACTCCTACTTAGGTCTTCTGTCATCGTACCAGGCTAAATTTTGGGTTCTGGGAACAATGATTCCACATAAAACTAAGCATAGTGACGGTATAGTAGAATTTCTTAGTTGTGCTGGAGGATTTCCAGAAACTAAGTTCCACAAAACCTATACTGAACGTTTCTACACATCAAGGCTCAACCACCACGACATGGCATTTAGAGCAGGCGATGCTCTATTCGATAAATCGAGGATGCCGGTGAAGTGGTTTCAGTGTCTGTTATAACGTAGCGCTTGATACCTCGACCACGTAAAGATACAAGATACTTACTTAAAGAGTGGTTAATATCAGTTGCGTTGAATCTGACGTTTCAATATAAAAAGCAGTTCAGTTGAGTGGTCGTGACGCAAAAGACTTGAGGCCTGTTTAATGATAAGCCCGTAAACAGCTAGTGTAGACACATCGCGCTTCACTATCATCAGTCGTGTCAAAGCTTCAGCGCTTATACACGAATCATCATGATACGCTATCAACTTGTTTGCATACAAAAGGTAACCAATCTCTCTTTAGCAGCAAGTCTTTGTCCGCACTTCTTCCAGTACTTTTTCGTGCTGGAAGGCATCATATGATGTTATATAATCCAATGAAATATATCCGATTCTACATTCACGCGATCGAAAAGCAAGCAGATTTTTCTGCGTTCTTCAATATTCTCTTGGTGACCTTTATCTGGCATCTTGCCCTTCTCGCTTTGGATGATTATGACGCTATGGACTGAAGAGAATATATATGCCAGTTGTATTATATAGCACCGAATAAGGATGAGCTCCAGCTACAGGAGGCACCACGTGTTCGCGTTAATCGTGTGACTCATTCACAACCGTTTAGAAATCAACATTTGATCATTGGTATTCATGCAAAACATGGAAGGCAAAGTATCACTTTCAAGACAAAACTTTTCCTTCTATTCACTATCTAGCTCATTGCTACTGATGTCATGCCGTTATAACGCGGACACCGGCCGCCGACACGCGCTCGGCCGAGATCAAATCGGGTTGGGTAATGAACATCATGTTGCGAGGCACATTCATCGTACGTGAAAGCCATTCGATTATTGCCGGACCAAACTCGCCGCGTACCGACACGAAGTCCACGCGGATTTTTGGATATATGCTATCGAATAGCGCCGCCATCTCACGGAAAGACGCGAGCACAAGGGCATCTGCCTCTTCATCTTCAAACACATGGACAATACGCAGTGTGTGAGTCTGCTCGTTGCGGCGCACGTAGATGATAGCCTTGTTGATGATCGTGAGATTCGGAACTTTACAAAAGAAGACAATGGGGGCGTTTCGGATACTGATAATAGTGCGAGCGATAGTGCGGCCTCCTCGAGCTCCGGTGTGCTCCACTTCCGACAAAGCATTCGCCGTATAACCAATTACAACAGCCTTACCGTAGCGTGAGGGAGCCATCTGCTTCAGCAAAACTAGTGTATAACGTAAAATCGTCACACGCTCGAACATGACAAACATCGCAAACATCACGACGATAAAATAGATGGCAAAGTACATGAGCACTTTGGGATCACCAAGGAGGTTTGCAAAAATGGCCAGCAGAACCAACAAAAAGCCAATAATTACTGTGGCCCATGGCGCGTGGATATCACGGGGGATTTCCGAACGCTTGCCTTTCAGCAACATACAAGCGCACGAGAACATTGCCATTAATCCAAGAAAGGAGTACGTGTACACACCGTTAAGGGTAGTAGCATCGGCGTTCAGAATGAGCACGAGACTCGCTGACAATAGAAAGTAGATGCCGATGATGTAGTGGTTGGTACCGCGCGTCTTGTTTGTCTTTGCCAAGAATGCAGGAAGCACACGGTCCGCTGACAGGCGGCGAACAAGACCGCAGATACCAACGTACGACGTTAAAACGGCACCACTTAATACAATGAAGGCGTCAATGCTAATCCACGTCTCAAACCAGCTCCCCACAGCTTCTCGGCTAACCATCGCGAGAAGATCAGCCGAGTTGTTGTAAATGCCATCATCACCTTCAAGGGGCAGCACAGCAAGTATACCGATGCTTAGCCCAATGTTAAAGAATGTGACAAGTGCCCACATATTGCGAAGCGTCTTACGGAAGACACCCGGAGCCTGTTCTTCCACATAATTGGATGACGACTCAAATCCGGTGATACCTAACATGGATGCACCAAAGCCGAAGATAATTGCCGTGAGGACGTTACCGTCAAGCATTGATCCAGCAAAGTCCACTTCAGGATATCCGACGTGCAAGTTGTCCTTGAAGACGTGCGAGTGATTAAACCAATAGATCATGCATGACACGAAGAGGATCAAAAGGACGACAATATGATGCAAGAAGATTGCGACAGCCACGCGAGAACTTTCTGTGATCCCCATCACCGCCAGAAGAGCAAACGCTCCTAGCAAAATGATTGTAGATCCGATGATTGAAATATCCACTTGATTGTTTAGATAGCGCACACCTGATGTGGCCGAAACCACTCCCGTGGCCACGTACGACAAGATACTGAGACAGGCGGCCACAGCGGCTGAACGTTTAGATGTTGTATTCAACAAGGCATTGTAAGTGCCTCCATTCAGAGGTATAGCAGTAACTACCTCTTCGTAGATGAATCGGAAGAAGTAGAGCACAATAGATACCATAAGCAATGGGATTGGCATGAGTTTGCCTGACTTAGCAGCCACAGATGACGCTGAGTACAAGACACTGGACAAAATGTCGTTGCCAGAAATAGCAGTAGCCGTCAGCTCTCCGAGCAGCTTCTTGGGCTGGTCAAGCTCCTTTTGAATCTCAGCCAATTCACCCTGAGGAACCTGCACGTGCTCCGAGGAGCCTGAGCCTGGAAATTGCCACGTTGGACCCTTATGAGCATCCTCAATGATCTCGATTTCAATCTTGCGACGACGCATTTTAGCAGCACGGAAACTTGTCTGGGAGCAAGGCGATTGGATCTCCATGTAAGCCGAGGACGGGACCTGAAGACTACCGGTAGTACTTTGACTTCCTCTAGCACTTGAAACCATTTTGGCTCTTATACTAGAATTGAGACTCGAGACAAGAACGACTTGACTAGGGCGTGGCAAGAAAGGAAATGCATATCGGTGTAAGTGAGCTAGATTAAAGGGCAGAGCGCTTAAATTTCTATAAAATCATTATGTTTGCCACTTTGATGTTCGAGGACGTACTTCGGTGTCGCCTATCCTGACACTAGGTAGGAAACTAGCTGCGAGACGTGTCTACTCTCCCCTAAAAGTGCTCCCACAGGCTTTGAGACTGGTCATCTGACAGTACAATACTCTCGTCCTATGCTCGTCATAAACTGGACGCTGCAGCCGTATTTGCTGGTAATAGAAGATCCTTTTATTCTCGTACCGTTACAAATAGTACATTATGACCTGCAAAACCGGACGAGCACGACCTCCGGGTGGGGTTGTCGACTTCGCCCCTCCAGCTACAGATGTTTCAAGCTATACAGTAGAGAACACGTCTTCCCTCAGACATACCAATGGACGACATGGGTTCATCCAATCCTACTCGGTATTTTGGTGCTGTAAACAGGCGCACTATTTTTAGAAAACTAAACAGTTTGTCGGATAGGCGAGAGCTGCCTCGTCGCATACCATCCAAATACAGTACGATCTTCAGTTCCAAGGACCAGCTTTATTTATTTATCTAGCTCTACCTAGCACGCGTTTGATCGTTGGCTTTCTGCTTTTGCCTGTCGATCGATGTTGATCTGGTCACAAATACAAGTAGGATGGGCAATTGTCTTACGCATTGTTTGGCATGAATTTCACTGGTTGTTTATAGCCCCTTCTTTTTTTTTTAAAAAAAAAAAAAAAATGGGGAAAAATTTATTAAAAAAAATTTTTTTTAAAAAAAAAAAATTTTTTTAAAAAAAAAATTAAAATTTTTTTTTTTTTTATTAAGAAGTTGGTTTTTTTTTGGGGGGAAAAAAAAAGAATTTTTTTTTTTTTTTTAAAAAATTAAAAAAAAAGCGTTAGTCGCTTCAAACCAGACGGATAAACAACCGACTTGTGAAATGTCATGCTCTCGGTAGACCGTTTTTACAAGATGGTGAAATGTGTTTACGACGGTTTTGAAAAACCTTTAGCAAACAGGTGGGTGAGACGTTTCTACTCGTCAAAATAAGGGCATCAAGAAGCTACTCAAGAAAAATGCCAACTGGACTTACAGGTGAGAGAGAATGATATATAGAAAAACCCCTCCCTCAGTGACGAACGACGCACCTTAAGCTTCGTGTTTGCAGGACCCTGAACGTGAACAGTAACGAGAATTATCTTGTTGAACACGGCTACTGATGCCGTGTCGGCCACTTGGGGTGCTAATTGTATTGGTCTCAAGTGGATGAATATCTTGGAAGTGGCGTGTACAATGCGCTCCTGTTCGCATTTATGTTTGCTAGCGTTCGTGTGTATTGCAAACACTCTTGGCGCTACTCAAATTCCTTGCCACATTGTTATGCAATGTGCTGACAACATGCGCCGCGTACGGTATCAAACTACATATCTTATCGGGACAACATGCAACATGCATTTTGTTGGTCCATTGCAGTGGCCACGTCTTTAGTGGTCTTGTGTCTCTTCGTTGGTAATGAGGCTGTATGTCATCATCACTACGTCGCAGGGCAAACCTCAGGCATGTTCTGAAAGAATACTGCGCAACGTGAGGGCTTTAGCTTCAATCGTGTCATTGGAATGAATATCTTCGCATTTTTGTCAATTGGTCGGAGGCGACCACGGTATCTACGCGACCTGTATGCGCTACTGTCGAAGCCGTCAGGTATCGATGGCTGATTTGGTGCGTGGGTCATGTTGACTGTTCTATCCTGCTGTTGATCCCTGTGCTACGTTATACTGCGGATAGTGCGCCATCTTTCGAATGATCATTTGAATACAAGCAAGATGCGCGGACAAATATAGTGCGTCGTCAAAGCATGCTTCTTCTACCCTCTATTTTGGTACTAGTAAACAATGTAACTTTGCGATCATATGTGGCGTGTACAGATACGCTTTCGTGAGTTCAAGGCGCTGTTCACGATTGCTGGCATGCTGTCCAAGGCCAAGCGCCCTGATGTTGCGTGATGTGTGAAATATTTAAGCGCGTATATGTTGCGTGTGTGTGAAATATTTAAGCGCGTATATGTTGCGTTAATGACGAGGATGCTTTACTAGTACAAGAGCTCGGCTATGTTTGCACTCGTGGCTCCTTAGAGGTGGATCAAATAGAATTCGAGAAGGTCCTATGATTGTTTCCTATCGTAGTCAATTGCAGTGTCCCTATCGTGTCTGCAATTGGCCGGACCTTACCATCAAGCCCATAACGGTAGTAACGAGCAGACGCACGCGTTTTGCATCGTAGCGAGTTTTACAAATGATGAGTGAGTGATGCTTTAAAGTGTTCGTAATTTGGCGGTACTGTTGACAATTTGTATCCTAAGATACGCATCCGTTTGATATTGGTACATAAATGTATCCGTGTAAGAATTGACTGTTTCTTGGAAAGTAATATTACAAAATTGCACAAGTAAGCATAGATTTATAAAAAAGAAAACAATATTCGCAAGTTCGCTCAATTAGCCAACATCCAACGATTAATTCCCTGTCTTCATTCATGGGTGTTACAAAGCAAATATTAGGGCCCGAAATAAAGTCGCTGCAATATTTTCTGAACCGCACCGCGGTGCTCACGCAGTACCGGGACCTTCTACGCACTACAAAGCCGTTGGCCGTCGATGTGCGGCTAGACTTACGACGTCAAATTCGCGCGGGCTTTGATGCCTACCGCAACGAGAAGGACGAGCAACGTGTGAGGCTTTTACTGCAGCAAGCACGCGAACAAATGAAAATGGTGAGCGACTTGGTGGAATTGGCAGCGGCGCGGCAACGCGTTCCAGTGATCGAGTGCGATTGGAAGAAGGATGAGCGGATTACTTTCACGCAAAAATCAGTAGCAGTATCAACCGATACGAAAGACAAGTGGATGGACGCGTCGTTGGAGAGAAGCGACGGCGAGGAGGATGTGAAGGGCCGTTTAGGCACCGGATGGCCCTGGAGTAGCAGCAAAAGTACATCCATATTGAATCTGGAAGGTATTAAGCGGCGCTGACCTAGAAAACTAGAAATTTGCATTTGGTCGCAAGAAATTGCCATGGGCTTCGTCAACGTGTACCACATTACACTCTTATCTATGTTAACCATAGAGCCGATAGAAAGTATACGAGCAGAAGTTGTATAGTGGAATATTGAAGTTCCTGTCCATATTAATGTGTGACAAGGGCAGGGAACAGTGATTGCGAGTTATTTTGCCGTAATCTATATTCCAAAATTGATTCAAAAGGTCGCTGTGGTCCTGCGATATCTTATACTCTTGAACTCCAATAGTAAACCAAATCAAAGCTGAATATACTACCTCTGTAAATACGTAGACGTGTATCTACATCATTTACAGCATGTTATGTGACTTTGTGTACATAAACTGTAATTCTTCTTCTACTTGTTTTGACTATTAGATACTGAAAGTTTTCGTTTAAGTATATGGATAATTTGCACTATTTTCTAGAGCTTCAAATACAAAAATTGACAGCAAAGAATCGTGGAAGAATGACGTCGTCTTCAGCGCACGCTAGCGGTCTTCCAGCTGTTTTAAAGGTGCAAAGTTTAATGAAATGAGCTCATGATCTTTATCAATCGAATGTCAATACTTAGTTGCTCACTATTATCCTCTTCGACACAGCATACTAAAATTATCCTAAATTCGACATTCACGACTGCCCTTGTGATGCCTTCGCTTAATCAAAACTTACTGCAAAGGGTAGTATCAAATCCTACGGCAGGTATAAGACCATGGAGGCTAAAAAATATGATGCCTGCAGGATATTTTTGACTACGACTTCAATCGCGAGCGCATCTTTTTGGAAATCGCAGAGGCTGAGATCGCTGCCATGCGCAAGGCTGAGGATGAACAAAAATTGGCAACTGCAAACGAGCAAGACGACTCATACAACGAGCATGCACGAAAGGTAACGTGCTAGTTTTTAGCTATTCCAAAGGTGAGCAACAAATTTTATAATTGATACCTTTTCGTATCTTTTTGTGTGGCGTTCGTGTAGAGCGTCAAGCTTTCGATAACGAGTAGCTTAAGCAGTAATGGACACCAAGATGGCAATTATATTAAGCCTCGTAGTACCAGCGAAGAGGATGTAGCAGCAGCTATTTCTGCTTCTCTCCGGGAATATTAGTGTTGATGCGAACTGTTCAATTTGTTTCTTTATTACGACATGGTACGTCAATTGTATTTTACTAAAATCATTGCAGAATCTACCGAACGGGATTGCTTGGATACATCATGTTATAGGCAAGCCAGTACAGGCGACCATAGTTGACGTACAGCTCTTCTCCTGGTTCAATGTCTCGCATTGCGATGACGTCGGCCTTGTCGTCCTGTGGACGTTTTTCAAAGTGCACGTTAAAACCTCCAAGATGTCCTCGGCAGTCGTTAATGTATCGAGCTAGAACCTGGGGGCAATGTCTCGCGTCAATATATTTGCTGTCGCCCAGTTTCATTAAGTATGACTTGTCCTTGAGCTTCCACGCAATCTCTTGATTGGGGAGTACTTCTCCAGTGTACTCGCAAATGGTCGAACCTTGAACGTGACGTTTTGTAGCAAATAACCCCTTTCCAGCTCCTGGAATATTTGACTTGCGCACTTCAACGCCATGGTCTTGATCAAGTGAGACAAACAGTAGATAATACGACCGTGGCACATTCAATTCGTCGTCGTCCATCGAGATTGTTTGTGCCACGCACGAGTTTTATGAGTCGAAGTCCACTGGATGGATACTGACAACTTACCGATTCACAAACGGTATTTATACCAAAATCCAGATTGAAAGGATTCCAAGCGAATTCGAGCAGAATGACGTCTACACGCAAGTTTTGCTGTGACGACCTGTTTCGCTTCAACAATGTCAATTTAGATGTGCTTACGGAAACTGTAAGACGCTTGGCTATATTTCCATGCAAGTTTTACTTGGATTAAATATGATTTGATTGAGTTCTACTTGTTTGTTTACACAGTACAATATGTCGTTTTACCTTCAGTATTTGTCCAAGTGGCCGGACTATTTCCTCGTGCAGAAGGACCCTAACGATACTATCATGGGTTACAGTGAGTCCAAATATCTTCAGCAATAAGACCTTTAGCTCGAAATTGTTTGTTTACTATTGCTTACTACTTCTACCGGTAGTCATGGGCAAAGCTGAGGGACAAGGATGTAATTGGCATGGACATGTAACGGCAGTGACGGTCGCTCCAGAGTTTCGACGACTTGGTCTAGCCAAAAAACTTATGGATTACTTGGAGAACGTATCGATAGAACTCTACAATGGCTATTTTGTGGACTTATTTGTTCGAGTTTCCAACTCGCTGGCCATTGCGATGTATGAGAAATTTGGCTACTCGGTCTATAGACGGGTGCTAGGATATTATTCAAGTGCAGAGGATGGGGAGGACGCATTTGGTACGACGTTGTGGACTAGCTACATGCAAAAAAAAGATGACTGCTGGCAGTACTGACGGTGGCTCTTGTGATTTTATAGATATGAGAAAGTCTCTTCCCCGAGATGTTCAAAAAAAGTCGATCATACCTTTGCCGCATCCGATCACGCCGGACCAGTTGTAGCCAAAGAGATCAACGCTTCAGGGTAACGAGCAGTCACTGGTCGCGTTGGCAGGTACGCATGGGCTCCACAAATTAGAAAGGCTATATGAACAATCCTATGCTCAACTCTCATTATTGAGAACTTCGCCATTTGGGTTTCATTTTTGGTTTAGCTCCAACAAATTTTGTGTGGTGTCATAGCTTGATGCTACAAACTGTCATTTTGACCCCAATTAGACATGATTGCCATGCAAGTGTAGTAAGTTGCTTAGCCTGGTTGCTCTCTTCGTCTTTTGTCCTCTAGGTCTATTACGTGGCGCATACGACATAAATACCACTCATTTTGCTCCTGAGCTATGATGTACAAACGCATTCAGTGCGTGAACGATTGGGGTCGATTTCCGTGGTTTAGGGACGCTTGGGAGGAAGCCCGCGCGGGCGCCGTAAACGTGTTGCTCCAAACAGCGGCCTTCTGCAAGTGTTGTCCGTACCAAAAAGTGTCGTGCTGTTTCGCTCGTATATACCTTCATCAGGCAGCGACATTGATCGATTCTCGATTGTGAAGCCGCCCTTGGAGGATGCGTTTGGTGACGATGGAATCAAAAGGACCTTTCTCAACGACTCGTTTGTCGTCAATGAGTTCCGTGGCGGTGGAGGTGGAGGCGGCAGTCTTGGTCGACTATGACGAGACGATGCAGCTTTTCTTTCAACTTGTATGACCTCAACCTCCAGTTCATCTCCCTCTTGAATGCGTCTCAGCCCAGGTTTGTCCTTCGATTCGTCCCACAATAAGGTGTTTCTATCACTAAGGGCTTGACGGATAGCATCGTAAAGATATCGTCCATTCACCTTGAGCATGGTGTCCTGGAACCAATCCGTCTGCACTCGGATTCCAACCTGCTTCAGTCGCTCTTCCTCTTCCGTCAGACTTGAGTTACCATCACTTTTAGTACTCGTGTTGACAGAAACTTTCATACTGCTAACATGAGTCAAAATCTCGCGAAGCACTACTCCACCAACGCGTCTCTCTTCCAACAACTGCTCGTTAACTCGTACCACAAATTCCATCGTCTCGGCATTGCTGTTTGTCGGTACACGACTCGTTAGCGGGGAACTTTGCGAGTTCTCCTCGCAAGTGTGAAGCTCCATATTCTGCAGTGCGTCGAGGTCACCCCTCCTGTCCTTGGCCATCAATACGCTCTCTCCATATTTTGAAATCGCAGCCGACACCATGAGCAAGTCCAATAGTTCCTGCTGAGTGCCTGTTGTTTCTACGATACAGTGCAACACCTTGGGACTCATGATGTAATTCACCCAAGCATCCAAGTGCTCCCGAGAGAAAGCACTCCTTGCTTGAATTTCCATTGCCATTCCGGGTTCGTAGCATTTGAAAAAGTTGCGAAACCGAACATAGCGATCTTCGCTAACACGACGAATCACCTTGGCTCGTTGGACACTGAAGGCATCGACATCGTGTAAGGCAAAAATAGCGCTGTCTCCAGGGCGGCGATTAAGACTTGAAATGTCGCTAGTAGCCCTTGTCGTCCTCATAAAGCCGTCAAAAGTCATCCAATTTTCACCAACGTCTTCCGTTTCTGAACTCGATACAAGCGTCGATCGACTGTTAGTGGGCATCACCGCTCTCCACATGATTGGCGCATGGTCGGACGCTGAAGCCAATGAGGAATTCCCGCCGAGCGTATGTCGACGATTAAGTGATGGATGAATACCCGTGTAAAGTGTTTTATCTTCGCTGATCACTTCCACATTGTCCGACATTTCGAAAATTGAGGGTTGCGTGCTTGCTCCCCAGGCGCTTCTTTTACACTGACATCTAAGTGTACCATGATAGAAGTAAACCAACCAATTGGTGTTTTTATCGCACCCTTTCACCGCCTGTCCGGGTACCAGGACGACATCTGGCCGCGCAGTCCAGCTGGTCAACATTGCACTACGTTACCCTACCACATGCTTTCAAGGACTTCACAATCACCTACAAGCTTTTTCAAAGAAGTTCCGGCACCTCAATATACAGCTTTATCACGAAAACACGTGATGGTTTACAATCTTAGTGATCTGTGGCTTATTACACGCAATATCAATCCATTCATCACTAACGTTGATTCTCTTGCACCTTTGGTCTGACTCGATTGATGCATTGATGCTAAAGGCGATGGACATAAAAGGTGAGCTGATTTGATTATTTTTGGTTACTCACAGTAGTAACACGAATGCTACTCTAGTCAAACAAAGACGCGGCAGATCGCAGCATTTATTGCGGAATTTCAACTTTGGTCATTGTACGATTCGTCTTGTAATGGACTATCATTATTTACAACCCATTTAAACGAAACAAGATCGTAAAAATGAACGAGCATGATATTAGGTTCAACTGTCGTATGTATCAGGGTGACTTCATGATGACCCATTGATATTGGTAAGAAAGGCTTTGTCATGTTGCGACCTAAAGACGGTTTCTTAAAATGTAACTAATAAATTTGCACTGGCTTTCTTGTGCTAATAAATAAAGACGCTCTTGCGCTTACTTCAATGTGTCTATCGAACGTTTAATGTTCTTGTGTCTATGGCAAACACGCAGATAGAATTGCTTACGACATTACTGTAAAAAGGATTCAAAATGTTACTCTTGAATGCAAATACATTCAAATAAAATTGTAGTGTTAATCACTAGTAGTCATGTAACCGAAATTATACCAAAAATTGAGCCTTTCAATGACAAGGTCTGCTATAAGCATACATGCTGCCTTGCTTGCAAACGACTTCTCGTTTCGCTTTGATCACGAAGAGTTTCCGTTATAGTAAAGTTTTAGCCTTTTCGTTCATATTGAAAATACGTTAAGTTTGGCGAAAAAATGAAACATTATTTTTGTGGCATATGATTTTCCATAACCATATCTCGCAGTTTTGCTTGCTCTGGAAAATCTCGCTGTGACCTTTAACGGTGTAACCGTACAGTTATTTTTCCAGCAAAGGCCATAATAGATCTATAAACATTTACACGAGCTCAATTTAATCGACGCTGAGCCTTTGCTATTGACGAAGCTTTTAATGGATTAAGGTACGCATATGCTGGCGCAACAATCTTTTCAACCAGGTAAAGCTGGAAAACCTTAGAAGCCTTAGGTTTTACTTGATACAGCTACAAAATTGCTGCGTCTTTAGAGTAAGGCTTACCTTGTTGTAATAAAACTGGTTTAATATCAGCTTGGAAACACATCATATATATTCATTGCTTATTTGTTGCTTTGAAAACAGAAGGTCCTGGTTATACGTACGTCACACGAATGATTGTGCCTGCTGTACACGCGTGGACCACATCACGCCCCCTACGCTAATTTATTATATTCTACAGCGTAACAAATGGCGCCAACGCAACGTCATTCGGTCGAGTATACGCCGACGTACCAGCGTTTTGTGCTTAAGCAAAAGTCGTATGCACAACAGTTTTCACATATTTATGTAAGTCGATTGCAGCAACTTCGAGATGTAGTGACCGTTCAAGTACAGCAGCAGACTGGTGGTCGTGTTTCTGTGTTATCTAAAGTAATTGATCTTAAGGCTGATAGCTATGAATGTGTAGTAATTGGTACTCTGCTCAAGATATTGGGAGCTAAACCAGATTTATTTGACGCATTGGCTAGTGAAGCAGGTGTCACGCCTATTGAATACGTTCGGAAACCCTTGGCTACTGAGAATGACGAGCTATTGTTAGAGGATGAAAGTGGACGTGTGCAGCTTGTGGGGAACATTAATGCATCGACGTTTGTTACAGGAGTAGTCCTTGGAGTGCGTGGTCGTGTGCGACAAGACGGTACAGGGGGGACAGTTTCATGTGGACGAAGTGTATGTGCCTTCTATCCCACCCCAGCACTGTCTCCCAGAGCGACAGGGGAGTGAGTATGTGGCTTTAATATCGGGACTAGGGATCGGTCGGAATACGAATGACCAACCACTTCGTAATCATGTCCTTGTGGACTATTTAGCTGGACGATTAGGTGACGAAGAATTAGTGGCTAAGATTGTGCGGACAATAGTGATTGGAAATGTCCTTGGAGCAATCGGACAAGGAAATATTCAAGTGCCGACAATCATACGAAAGTCAGCAGAGCAATTAGTTTTGGAAGGAGAACCATTGAAAAATGCTGATGAATTGATTTCTACCCTAGCAGCGTCCATGTGTGTGGACTTGATGCCTGGAGCCTTGGACCCAAGTAATTACACTTTGCCACAACAAAGCTTCCACCCGTGTCTATTCCCACGTAGCTCCCACTTTAAATCGTTTCGATGTGTTACGAATCCATACGACGCGCAAGTTGGAGGTGTGCAATTGTTTGGAGATGCAGGGCAGTCATTGCAAAGTATACTACAGTGTACTCTTGCCAAAAGTGACGACGCTGAGGGTAGACATGGTACTATGATAATAGATAAAGAAAGATTGGAGCAGGAGCGAGCGCTGGATTACTTGCAGTGCTGTATTGAATGGCGTCATGCAGCTCCGACTGCTCCGGATATTTTAGCATGTTTTCCTATGGCTAATGAGGACCCTTTCATTTTCGACACTTGCCCGCACGTGTATTTTTCTGGTAACCAGCCACGCTTTAGCACCCGCCTTGTCAAAGGTACAGCTGAATTTTGTTGACTCGTCCTTAATATGTGAACTTGACTAGATCTAACTTTGCGCTCTACCGCGCAACGTTTTTATATGATACCACAGGAGCACAAGATCAACAAGTACGACTAATCACCGTACCTGCTTTTTGTGAGACATCGACGATTGTGCTGGTCGACCTGAAGGACCTGTCATGTTTTCCCATTACGATTGAGGTGTGATACAGTTGATGATGCCACGAACTTTAGTGTCAGAACGTGATGGATATATGAATGAGAACATTACGTGCTAATATTCAGCAAGATACGCGGATCTTATGAATTGTGGCATTTACCTGTTGCCACTATCGCGGGCTTAGAGTTTACCAACGTTTAAGGTCAGCAGACTGCTTGTGTGTCTATAGCGTCTTCCATATAGAGTATACGTACAATGTGCGTGATGTGGACTTTGCTTTTCGGGCACGAGCACTTACGCCCTCTTGAGTGAAAATCAAGCCGTCTAACGCTTTCTGGGTGATAATTTGGTGCTACGTTTTCGCTCCTTTGGTTGAGTGTTCTGTGTGCCGATATGCGTAGCGAGGACTGCGAAGTTGCTTGACCACTGTTATTGACACTAAATGCATATCATTAGAATGCCGGTATAGATGTTTGGTTGCCAAAGTAAAAATGCTGTCTTATCACTGTAGCTGCAGCAAAGCCTTTACAGCCGATTTATGATGTAAGGCGGCAAGTACGTTCAGGTTCTTGCATGAGAATCTACTAACTTTGCCAAAATATGTCGTCTCAGCTGGCAAAGTATATATGAGTCATAAACAAGGGATGTTGTGCTATATTGATTAGAAACGAATAGACGCCACAGACATTGTGACGTCACCTGGTGGGGTAGGAATCTCACTTGGGATTGTGTTTTAGCAACCAAAGTCCACAGTTTACTGAGAAATCGCCAAAGGCTTCCACTGATCCCAGCGGGTGGAAGTCATTTGGGTACCAAAGAAGTTGCGTGGGAACACCGTAGCTTGCAATAATAGCACGGTATTCTAAGCCTTGGCTGGGCGGCACACGTCTATCCTTACCGCCTAGTCCAAATAGTGCAGGTGTAGTGACCTTGCTTAAGTCATTGCTCACTGGAGAATGCTGCCACAGCTTGCTAATGATGGCTAGACGCGCTTCCGGAGTCAGAACTGGAAGCTTGTTCCTAGCGTTTTGCAGTTTTTGTGACGTATGGATTGATTCAAATCGCTGAATGCCTGCACATGCAAGACCCCAATCTGGAATGTCGGAAGTATAGAAGACACTTGAAATGTTGGTCACGGGATTTCGCGTTACCATGGACTTGTAAAAACCCGGAAACTGCGCAATGAGGTGCGTGACTAGAAAACCGCCGTGGCTGCCACCAGAGCAATGAACACGAGACTTGTCCAACGAAAGGCCGAGTCTCGAACTTTTCTCAAGTAGGTAGCACAATGCGTAGTGACAATCGTATACATCCTGTTTGCCGACCTTTCCAATCAGGGATTCCAGCGCCTTGATCCCAAAGCCAGTGCTGCCTCGATAATTTACGGTAACAGTTGCTAAACCCAAACCAGCCCAGAAATCATACATGTCTCGATACATGACAGACGAATTACTGTGCGGTCCACCATGCAGCTCAAGAATTACAGGAAAGCCTTCAGCTGGTGGGGACGTATTTGGCAGAACTACAGTTGCTTCATAATCACTTGAGCTAGAGACTGATGGAAGTAGCAGATCTTTTAACACTGCGGGAGTGTTGAGTAGCTTCTTTTCAGCAGCTGGTTCGTCAGATACACAAGCCGGAATGGAGTACACTTCCCACCGCTTGATATACTTTGCACCGCCTTCCTGACTATCAATGACAATTGGTGAGCCCAAGTGTTTTCCTGTCGTCTGATCAATGTGCACGAGGAAGACGCTAGCGGGACGTGTAGGAGACGACACCATCACCAAGAAGTGGTCTCCTGTCCGGTCAAGAATTGATTCAGTGGCGACTCCAGTGCCTTCGACATACTCGGGAGAGATAAGGTCTTTCTTCGCGACATCAACGTACTTCCACACTACACGAGATCCAACCTGCGTCACCACATATATGTACTTGCCGTCATCCGACCATGCTCTTTCACTCAGCTTGCTAATAAACAGTCCGTTAAAAGCCTTGGTGACATCAAGAGTAGACGCATCAGGCTCATCCTTGATAGGAATCACTGTCGAAGTGTGCTTCGTTGCCCAGTCTGTCACGCATAAAGAACTGCACGTTCCGTGAGTAACGACATCTCGAGTAGCAAGGAAAGCCAGTTGATTGCCATCAGGTGAGAAACGTGGGTTCCTCATGGTCCCAATAGTTGTGCTTTCGTCATCCTGAGGTATTATCTCCATCTTTTTCACCACATTCTTAGCTTGATCGTCTTCGTTCAGCACGACGTGGTACAAAGTAATCGGACGATTGTAGCAGTAAATGAGACCAAGTCGTTTCGGATTATCCGTCTCAGTCGCTGCAAACACTAGCTCGTTCTCATTGGGCACAAAAGCCACATCGGCGCATGTTAAATTTGCTGGTACACCCTTAACTTCCTCAATTAGTCCTGTTGCCACCGTTGCCAAGAATATCGATGCCGTTTTCTTTCCTTCGTACTGCTCTCCCCAATCATCTTGATACTCAAACTTATTTCCTACAAGCGGCATTTTTTCCTCATCATTTTTCTCCTTTCCGCAATTCACATTCTCCCAAAAGGCACAACACTTGGTAACATTTTTCTCAGCAACGTATGCAATCTTCAATTCATCACTAGACCACGTAATTCCACCTTCACGTTCTCCTAAATAAATATTACCATGTAATGTTTTAGGTGCCCTAAATGTAGAAATGAGTTTCTGGTTTTCAAAAACTAATACAAAAATTGTTACAATAATATCATTAATACCAATCATAAAGATGTAAAAACGATCACAACATATTATCAGATTTTGTACCGTTAAAAACCCCTTCAGAGGTATCGTCATCATTTCCTTTCTTGTTATCAAGATTCAGAGACACGACGCGCTTTCTTGAAGGTGATATGCTTGTATAGTCAGCAGTCCACAGAGTAGGGAAACCCGTGACAACAACTTTCCGGTTTGTCTGAGTCACATTACTCACATGGTGTTGTATCTGATACTTGTGCGTCACGTTGTTAATTAGATCAGTCTTGCCCCAGATCAATTGGATACAAGCCGAGTCAGATACGTCACCAAGCAAGAGAAATCCACGCACGAGAGACTTGGTATTAGCTATCACTTGGGCAAAAAGGTCGCTTACACGCTTGCATTGTGCGACGTCGGATGCTGCCATTCGATATTTTATACTCTAATTTCTATGAAAGTAGATGATAACTGATTAGATATTATGTTTTATTGTTACACAATATTAGGATAGCGATAGATACCGCAGGCAACAATATTTTGATTAGAAGTTAAGAAATGTGAAAACTATTTGTTGTACCAGATTTCGCTTCTAAAATTAAATATCTTTTACTTTTCATTTTCATTAGTAAATGACAAATTCGATATAACAACTGTATTATATTTGTTTGTGGAGTTGCACCAGCCTGTGAGTGAATATTTAGCCAAGATTGCAATTCAAACCACATCACCCAATATAAAAATTGTTCATTGTGGTGACAAGTTATTATATAACCAATTCAATAATCGTCATGCAAAATGCAAATCATTCTCATACATAGGTTGATGCAGAATAAGACTTTGACTCATAATGCCACACGCTTCAAATACACCACTTTACCTACCCAACATCAGCAATTGCTCTTTCATGTCAAATTACAATGGAGTGCGGTAATTTCGCTTGCCAGAAATCACATTTGTAGCTTTTTTTGGATACATCTCGATTTGACTGTGCCGGTTGGCAACAACCTGGCTGACCAGGCAACCAAAGACCAAGCACGGCTGATATCTAAGGCGTACAATTGCTAGCAGTCATCGAAATAATAAAATGATGCAATTGAAAAGCGTGTAAATGTGTTTTTGTAGCAGAGCTACCGTTACAACGATACTTATGCACTAAGTGGAGAGAAAGAAAAGCTTCAGGAGCTTTATATCTTAGGATTAACAACCTCTCAAGGCTAGCTACATAAGCTTGTACCTCTTGGTTGTAAGCAAATCACGTCTCTATAAGACCAGTACTAATTCTTTCCAAAGAAATGCGCTCTAGCAACAAATGCGACACGCCCTGTATTAATATTTGAAGATTGGATCGAGCCCGAAATTTCCACGATAGAAACGTCGGAGTTGATCGATGCCTTTACGGATGGAGAGCTTAATACAGGACATAAATAATCTGTGTTGGGTTGTCGTTCGTATTTAGGTGAAATTTAACTCCCGCTACATCGTGGACCTCCTTTTATGAAAAGCCCGAAAATTTATTAGATGCATGCAATAAACGTAATCGATCGATCAGCCTGGCTAAACGTTTTTATGGACGTAGGAAAGTGAATTATCTCCGTCATAGGTGTCACTCGACAGTTTAGAAGCTCACCCGAAAGATCTGGAATCGCTGAGAAATATCTCGTTCCCTCGAACACTGCGATCGATGCAGTTTTTTTGAAAGTCTTAACTATCACAGCGGGCTTATTAAAGACTTAGCAATCGGCGCATTCGTTCTATATAAGCTGCGGTAACCGGTATGAGATCAGTCGCTCTTATTGTGAAAAGACAATGATTTCTAAAGATGAGCACGATCTGGATTGCGGTCATCCAATTATGTTCAATCGCGACCCAGTTTCTAAGATTGGTGACAATTGCAATTCAAAGGGTAGAAGTCGCTGGAAGAAAGAAATGATTGCGTTCAGTATGCTGGAAGATAAAATTGTGGCTACCCGAATCTTGAACTATTTTGATCCGGACCGAACCCCGGTGATTGTGGTATATGCCAGCAAGTAGACAGTATCAGCAGCATTGCTATAGGAATACGATGACGTATGTTGGCCGGTTATGTTTACTGAAGTGTAATGAGATTAACCATGGAATGGTCGAGAAAGAGGTCTTAGCTCTCCTCCCTATATTGGATATCGGCTATACTATGCTAGTCTCACATGCGATTAAGGCATTAATTCGGCTCTCCACATTAGTGTGGCTAGTGCAATCGTCCGAAGTCAACGGGAGACCAAGAAGATGTTCCGAGGTATTATCAACCTGGACGATAGAGGTCAGCAGATGTAGAAAGGGGGGAAGATGAGATACTCGGTACCTTGGCTGCAAGCATAACGCCTCGAGATGAGGTCGATGAAATGTTGATCGCGATTGCTCCGCAGAAACAGCTGAAGTATGCTATAATTATGCCGTGGCCTACCGTGGAAAAGGACAAAAGTCTCTTAGTGGTCAGTTTCGATGAATCGGCTCGGATAAAGAAAAAAGAAGAAGCAAATAGCGCGATCGTATGGAAGTTTTCCCGAATGGGCAGCTGTGGCGACAGCTGATAAGTATACTACAGATTTAACAGTAAATGTAGCCGAATATCGAGGATTGATACTAAATTTCGATCTTTTGGGGAGCCAAGCTGTGGACGAGTGATTATGTGTGGTAATTTAAACCTAGGGATTCGGCAGATGCACGGGGAAATCGATTGCAAGGCACCTAAATTGCAATTATTACGTCACTAAGCCGTGAAGAATATTCGGTCGTAGCCGTATCACGAGTTTGCACACCTGAAGATAGATTGGCAAGTGAAGCTTGCAGCAGTAATAAGGCAGAGTAAACTTTTCTGATCATGACTTTCAAGAACGGGCTGGACTCAATCGGTTAGATGAATTACTGGTAGCAAAGTGTGCGGATCGAGTCAAGATGGCAGCGATCACTAGATCGGCTATGAGGAGACAAAGACAGCCTATATTGTTAGAAGAAGAGATCGTGCAGCACACTGGATCGAGCGCTTAAAGCAAGCGCAAGATGAAGAAGGATGGATCCCTATTTTAAAGACATACTAATCGGGAATGTGACGGATCTAGATGCTAAAACGGCAAAGACAAGTGCCTTGATCGCGCCTGACTATGAAGCGGATGAGTGGGCTACTGTTTTTCTGCCCTCGATTGGCGGTCAAAGCTGAAGATCGCAATGGATCGATTTGTTTAGCGGTAATACAGTTTCACTCGCCTAAACTTCGACACATGTACCGCTGTCAATAATCGATATGGCGTACCCACATTCTGCAAAGGCACAGAGTGACTCCGCGCAATTTTGCCACCCAAAATGGTCCATAACATATAAGTGCCAGCTTGCGAGCGTATCCTTATTTAGCGCAATCCAGATATAACCATACTTGAGATCCACTTTTTATACCATGCGATTTTTGATCTGCGTTATGCTGATCAGCTTTGTCCTGGATCGCGGCCTTCAGGCGATCATTCACCATGGCTCGAGCGCGTTAGTTCTGTCGCTAGATGTGTTATCTCTACCGCCGCGGGTCTTGATCACGTTGTTTGGTGCTGACAACTGGTAGTGTAGCTGCCAAAGTGGACTGCGTATCCAAGACATGAATCAAATAGAATGGAAATCACCACGAACGCGATCCTGCGCCGTCTTAAGCGCGTAAGTTAATCGTTCTGCGTATTCGTCCCAATCATTTTGATCCGCATGTGTGACATATATCTTCAACTCCCTCGTTTAATGTTTGCACCATCCGTTCGGCTGTTCCATTTGCTTGAGGACGATACGCCATAGTAGCTCGCTGCTGATGACCAGCGATCCGGCCAAAGGCTCGCAAGAAATCAGACATGAAACCGGCTCCCAATCATGGCGTATAGCTTCAATCGCACCAAATCGACGAAAGACACATTCTTCATACTTTTTCGCAACTTTTGAAGCCGTTTGAGACGAACTTGCTTTTGCAATTACATAGTGGATAATACATCAACCTAAGCGCAGCTCGGTACTCCCTTAAATGACAAAGGTAATGACGTAATGTGATCTATGGCAATAATTTGGAAGGGTAAATGACCTGCAGATTTCCAGGAAGTTCGCTGCGTATCACAGCGCGCCCTTTACCACTTTTACAATCCACACATTCTCCCACGTAACTTTGCACACTCCGATATAGACCTCGCCAGTAAAAACTTCACTCTAGTCCGTTGGTACGTTCAACCAATTCATTGATGACCACCTTCCAAACTAGTATGGTAATGGTGTAGGAAGTCTTGTTGCAGCAACTCTCGTCGGATCGCCCTAAGAATTTGCTGGTGATCAAGGCACTGGATCGCATTGAATTTGATGAAGGTATGTTACCAGAGGATAGTTGGGAAGGCGACCTGGAAATGGACGAGTTCGAAGTAAAAAAAGATTGTGGATGTGCGATCCAATCGCAAAACGCGCTATGGTCGTGTACAGCGACGATATCTCGTGCATTGGAAGGATTATGACCCGCCGGCATGGGTAGATGAAGCAGACATAAGCTGTGGCGCCTTGTTGCAAGATTATGATCGTTATCGAGTGAGTCGGAATCGGTTTGAAGTGATGCAGTCGCATGAAGAAGAAACCGCGGAATATGACAAGACGATTGGAACGGAGATGAGGAGTGAAGGTGTGCGGGATGGCTGTACATATTGAAGGAGTGATTAAAGTGAACTGAGTGTAGCGGATCGAAGGGCAAACCCTAGATAGAGGTGAGAGAACTATAAGATGGAAGTGAATTTTGAACGCGATCAAGAAGAAGAAATAAAAGGACGCTGTATTTGACGATTGGATGTGCAAACTAGTGGAGACGTTACTTCTCAACGAATGTACACGATGGGTTAGCCTGACAAGTATTTCGGAGCTGGATATCATTGGAAGAATCATTTTTCCGTCACTTCTCGAAACCTATAGTTTCCCTATTTTCCGTCCAAGTCGACCTTTTCGCACGCCTTCTCCAACTGTCACCTCGGCTAGTCTTGTCAGCGCAAATCACGTCACGTTACAATCAGAAACCGTTGGAAGTTCCTCACACGCGGATCGCACCCGTGTCGTTCAAGCGGACTGAATGGTTTAAGGCGTTGGCTGAACTTTATAGAGACTTAAACGATCGCCATCAGCAAACATTGTGGATGTAGTCACTTCCGCTCAAGTTGTCTCCGCTTCGTCATCATGGTCGTCCCCTCAATACGACAACTTCTTCAGATTCCCTCGTCGTGGATTGCACCACCATGTCGATTGCGGTCACTAGTAAATTGCGCCTGATCCCATTCAATAGTGAATCGTTTAAAATAACTTAGACTTCTGAAGACATGGTGCTTCCTGCTTCATCTTCACGCCCCGGCTAAGCTCGAAATCAAAGATCCGGGGTGACCCGCTGTCGACGACCGATACTGATTTCTCCATGGTTTAGCGGCATCCAGCATGAATAATGCGGTGATCAGATTAAAAATGTTGATTCGTTTCCATCCGAAACCACGGCAACTTATCCGCTTCTCGATCGGGCGAGGAGAATGTAAGAAGAAGGGATCCAAAAGAATATCCAGATCGCCATGGCCAAACGCCATACCCTGGATAATGAACTCAAGAATCGTTTCCAACGTGGACCCGATCGCGATCGACGTTGTTTTTGTTGGAGTAGGCCTTAACTTGCATATATACGTATAGGTAGAAATCAGTGTACGCTGGAGTGGGACTTGCATGCATAATAGGTACGCTTTGCAAAGTCGTCTCTGAGTCTACGATATCTCCTCTTAACAACAAGTTAGTATTTGCGTGGGACGCATAACTTGTTATATTAAGTCTGGTCGGATTATGAGTCCAAGTCACGTTGACTACAGAAAAGATCAACCAAATAACATGTACTAATTGACTGACTCAGATGAGAAAAGCATGGGCTCTGAGATTGGTTCGTCGGGAACTCCCGTCCGGTGGGACGGCGAGGACTGGACTTTTACAAGTACGCTATGCTGAATGCATTTGAAGAGAGTTTATTGGATGACATCACCACGGGCGATGTGGTCGAGGATGAAGACTGGGATGAAGAGGAGAAAGGGAATTTCAAGAAGAAACATGCCAAGATAAAGATTTTGATTCAGGGTTCACTGTCCATGAGGCTTGCCAAGCAATTGATGTCCATATCGACAGGCACGGAAATGTGGAGAGAGCTAGTATCGATCTACGAGGGCAAACCAATCCTGCCATGACGTCACAGAAGGTATACCGCCTGCAGTGCGAACAACACAAGACCATCTTACTGAGCGGGACGACGTTCGAAGTCATCTGTACAAGCTATTTGACATCAAGAACAGACTGGAAGAATTTTCTACAAATGGTAGACAGGATGTTGCGGAGCTTGCCAGCGATCCCGTGTTACAACGAACTCCGACGCAAGTGTTGCTTAGCTCCAACGTGACATCGAATCTGGTTTGAGTTGATTATTACAGCAGATCACGCAGTAAAGATTAGAACAACAACGCCTTTGGAGCAGGCAAAGTAACAAGACGCAACAAAAATAAAGCGGTGCTCAGCAACACCACGGCAAGAAGAAAGATCCAAGTGATGGTCGCCAAAAAAAAAGTCGAAAAGTCTAACCGTGGAGGGTGTTTTCTTTGTGGTGGTACCGGTCACTACAAACGCGATTGTCCGGACTTAGAGGAAAAACCACGCGAAAGAAGAGCACAAGTCAAGTACGCGCGATCGGAAGAAGAGTTTACACATCCAAAACCGAAAACTTTTCAAGTTTCTCAGGTGAATGACACTATGGAGAAGCGTAATGCAAAAATTAGTGAAGTTGTGAAACAAGTCTCCAAGGATTTTGACTCATCTCGCTGGTATTTTGATATTGGTATTAATGCACACATCACGGGCATGGATAATTGCGATTGACCCCCCCCCCAATTTCGGGTTTTGCTAATGGGATTGGGGCAAAGGCGGAAGGTTTGAGAACAATCATTCTAGCGGTTATAGTTGATGAACAAATGGCATTTGTGCTTGTGGAGGACGTGTTGTACGTGCCAAGTGCGGGGTGCAACTTGTTCTCGCCAGGTCTGGCTTTGGATCAAGGATTCCAATTATCCTGGGAGCTCAACAAAAGAATGTCCAGGATGACAAAAGATAATATGGAGGTCATTTACACGACGCATGAACGTCAACTATGGACATTTACTGCTCACAATATTGGGTGCAATATCTCGAAGAGCAACACGATAATTACTAAACAGCAAGTATTTGCAAATTTTGCAATTACAGACGGTGTCAAGGACATCGACGTGTGGTATGAGCGACTAGGGCATACCCTCTCTCGAGTACATCCGACTAATGGTTGACCGCGGTATGGCCAAGGGGATCATGCTCAAGCGTCGAGAAAATTTGAACTGTGCTGACTGCCAATTTGGTAAATAGCAGCGCAAGACATTTAAGAAGTCGCTTGATCGGTCTATTGAAAAAGTAAATGACATGGCGTTTGCAGATCTTCTAATAGCAAGGGTAAGCAATGGCTCAAAATTCTCTGCCGTTTTGGTTATTATGGACGGGTTTTCGCGCTTTGTTAAGTTTTACCTGCTTAAGTCGATGACGGGAGGCGAGGTGAACATGTACATGAAGCAATATATTGCATGGTCAGAGCGTAAGTGGGAGTCGAATTAATGATTTATTTCTTGCGACTACGATACAGAGGACCACAATGAAGGCGCCGGCAAGTGAAGAAGGTGCTCACGGACAAAAATCAAGAATTTGAAATGGTATTATGAAAAATTGGTACATGTAAAATATATAACGGGTCACACTAAGGTGTGTATTTTACATACACACCTGCCACACCATTGTGGTGTGGCTGTACCTTGGGTACAGTGGTAGATTGATGTGACCGTACCTAAGGTACGAAGGGTCGCATCGTGACAGATAGCCACGTGGTCACTATACTTAGCTAAGTATAGTGACTATACATGTTTGCATGATAATAACAGGCTATAGAGCCAGTAAATAGTGACTAGCATTAAGTATAGAGTAAGTGCTTCTATATTTAGTGCTAGAAGATAAACATAATATAGATCAGTTTCAAACCTGCTCTGCAAGCATCACTGCTTGAGCGTTCTCTTCCTTGCAAGACAGGGAGTTGTATCTTTGTTACTAGTCTCTTGAGACTCGGTTGTGACAATCAATAGGCACAAGCTTGCGAGCTAGCCTAAGAAGGGTTAAGCACCCTAAGACATATAAGCTCTTGGAGCTTGTCTTCCTCTGCGCTTAGTGCGTTAGTAGCTTGGCTACAGTAGCTCGGCTACACCTGGTAGCACTTGTAGTCAAATCCGCACCTGGATTTGCGACTACTTCTCTGTGTGAGAATGGACATCGATAAGATGTCAGCAGTTGGCCTGTCACAGTCACAACAGGAAGGGTTGCAAAAGCTGCTCCCTATCCTTGGCCCTAAGGGTGTGAAGTACCTCATCGCCCAGGGCAAAAAAGAGGTTAACAATCGTATTCATATGCTTGATGAATACAACAAAGCTCTAGTAGAGCATTAAAGGACAGATGCCTTCTTCTGCGCCATCGCCCATGGCGACTATGGCGCAAGAAGTGGTTCGCAGACCAAAATTCATACAAATGGAAGTCGATAAGTTCGACGGCAAAGAAGGTGATAACTTTATGATTGGTTCCGACAGGTTGAGTCGGCTATGTTTATAGCGGGCATCACCTGTGTACCGCACCTTGTGGGCTTTGCCACGGGCAAGTTAGGTGGCTTAGCCAAACAGTGGCATTCACATACGGTGCATCACTGCACGAGATCCAACATAGGCAGATCGAAAAGTTCAGATGACCAACATGGGCAGATCTAAAAGTTCAGATGACCCGGCAGTATTCAACACCAAACCAAGCACACCGTAATCGGTCGCGTTTTTGGCGTGTCACCAAGGCAAGCGTGATCTTGCGGCATATGTACAAGAGTTGAGAACTCTCATTGCTGCCATGGTCATAGATCCTTTCTTGAGGCAGTGACCGTCACGGTCTTCATGGAGGGCCTTTGAGGTGGCGTTGCCTGAATGGAAGTCTTCCGGGTAAACCCGTACTCATTTTAGGAAGCTGTTGGAGCGGCATGGAATGCCAAGACCAAATTTAAGACCTCTAGGCCTGCCACCTATAACTACTCGTCTGATGGGTCTGTATCCATGGACTGTAGTCAAGTGGAGGATGAAGAAGCTAAGATACAAGCTGCGGAGCAGCAAATTGTGCGCAAATGTTATATCTGTAAGAGTACAGGCCATTTGATGGCAAAATGCCCTGCAAGAAAGGCATATTTGACATCTAAGGGCCGACGCCCCATGGGTAAACCTTCTGGTTTGCCACGGGGATACGGCGGAACTCAGTAGTCGCGGGGTGCCCTACTGGGACAGAACTGAGCTCTGTTGAACCTCTAGGAGGTCGAAGTAAACAGGCCCAGCCTCAAAGAGATCGAACTTTCAAAAAAGAAACGAGAACGCAAGCCAGGCTTGCTAGTCGTCGAAGGAAGATTAAGGACTATGATAAGCCACGGATCATTTTGATCGATTCGGAGGCATCGGGTAATTATGCTCGCCGTGCCACCGTGGAAGGTAGTCAGCAATATGCCGAAGCGCTTAGAGCGCATGAAAGTGATACAGTCACAGTTCACTTAGCGACGGGTACGCGTGTTACGGAACCCAAAGTCCCTATGGACATAAATGTAAAGTTCTTGGACTTTAACAGCATGGAGCGCTGTTTGGTCTTATACCTGGACCTTATCCTAGGCATGGCATGGCTAGAACGTCATAAGCCATGGAATTATTGGAAGTCGAAGACCTTAGGAGCAACGCGCAATGATCCTGGTGGGGCTCTGGAAAGTCATAAACCCACCTCTGCAAGGAAGCAAAAGCGCTTTTGGCGTGGATATTGGGCCGAGTCGGTCAACATGATGGATGTCGGAATATCCGACTTTGTAGACACTGTAAGTGTCGAGTACAATATTCCTGGGCGAGGCCCAATAAATTTCGATAGTGTGGTTGAGAACCCACTAGATGGAACATATGACATGTGTCATGAGAATGATGTTACATCATTAAACACTGCGAGTGGTATTGGTGGCTGCAAGCCAAGATGTCAGGACATGAGTCCAAGGGACATGAGTGACGAGGAACTGACCCTGGAGGGCCGGGTGAAGTCAAAAGGGTTGAAGAAAAAGAAGGTGAAGAATAAGAAGAAGGAAGGCAAGAGGGTCGGGTGAATCAAAAATGACTGTTGTCTTTGAGGACAACGAGGTGCAAACACCTCATGACGAGTCGTTGGCCCAAGAGGGTGAGGGGCAGTCAGAAAACGAAGTGGTTTTTGACCTTGGGGTGTGTACACCTGTGGACGCTGATGCGTTGGATGCTGAGAGTATCATGTGTAGCGATGATAATATCGTGAGTGATGGTGATAGCGAACAGCTATATACACTCGTCAATGGTTGACCGGGGATGTTGAAGAGCCGGTGGCTTTTTCAGCAATACCCAAAGTAAGTTCTCTGTTAGAGTTGGACGAGTTGTCCTTTGCCGAGTTTGGCAGTTCCTTACAGGCAGACGACATCGCCGAAGTGGTCGTTATAAGACCTGAGGAGGAGTTGAACTCCTCATCGCTTTGGGATAAAGCAGTTCTTGAGGATACCAAGAAGGCGCTGAATGCGCGCAATGGATCACAGATCCTGAAGGACCCATCGGATCCTTATTTTCCTTTACTAAAGGAATAAGGAGGTGTGGTATCCAGAGAACATCCTGCGAGGTTACCTCCGAATAGAGGTGTACGTCATGAGATTGAATTGATTCCAGGAACCAAATTCTGTGTGACGCGACAATGGCCGCTGCCACGAGAACAGTGTGACGTCATTGACGAGTTCTTTCGTGCGCAGCACGCGTCTGGCATGGTGCGTGAGAGTAAGTCTCCGCACTCTACGCCCACGTTTTGTGTGAAGAAGTCTAATGGGAAGTGGCGAATAGTGCATGCTTACAAAAGGCTGAATGCAGCCCCTCTACCGGCCCAAGCACCGATTCCTCGCAAGGATATTAATCAGAACAACATGGTGTACTCCTGCACTTGCCGCTGACCCAAGGAACCAGGCTCCCTCCCAAACATCGATCGACACTCCTCTTCAGGTGCCTGAGCCAAGGAAGTCTACCGTGGTTCCTTCTGAGATCGTAGATGGTGAGGGTCCCCCAGACGTAGATAAATTCCGGTCGACCTCTAGCTCCGCTGCTGTAGTGGACCCCGTGGAGACGACCACTTGTGACCCTTCCGTTGTTCTGTCGAGTGCTCCTCAAGCTGCGATAGGTGGGTCCGTGGGCATTCATCAAATGCTGCGCGACCTACAAGACCACTTAGGCACGTATAGCCGCAAACTTGAGGCGTGTGAAGGTCGACCTACTCCCGTCCCCGAAGCCTACTTGACCACTCGATGTGAGCATCTTGAGAGGGATCTGCTGGACACCAACAACCTCGTGACCCGGTTGCGAGAGAGACTCCAGCACAAGAGAACGCTGGTGGAACATTTGCGGTGGCGACTGGATTGCCGTCAGAGCCGATACGCTCTGATGGTGGCAGAGTTGGAGCACGAGGATTACAGCACGAGTCCATTCAAAAATCTCGTAGCTCCTTCAGTGACTGCTCCCACCATGCCTCCGTGACTGCTCCTACCGTGCCTCCTATACCGGCGACGAGTTAGTGACCTTGGCGCACGTCGGCCAAGACGACCGCCAAGGTCCCCAAGGCTGCCAAGCCTAGTACCGCCAGCACTCCCACTTCGTCGGCTCCCAAGTCGGGGACCTTCCGGAGTCTACCTTCGATACTCTCTCCTGACCCGGATGATGACACCGCCATCAACGACAGCGAGGTGATCCGGGCTACCTTGGTTTGGTCACGGTCTTCCCGGCGGCGCACCAAGCCTACCAACCCGCCGCTCCCAGCTGTCTCGGCTGACTTTGTTCCTCGACCGGTCACTCTTCCAGGTCCAAAGTTATTTCGAGCCATGTTTGGATCTTCGGACTCCGAGATCGAGTCGGTTACAAGAAAGGAGGCCACTGTCCCAGTTGCCAAGGCGGGCGTCGCCCCAGAAGAGTCACCTAAACTTTCGAAGGGTGACAACATCCCAGGGTATATGCAGGTGAGATCATTCACTGCAGCGGAGGTGGCGCCCTGGTCATTCGACATGGTCAGCTCGCTGAGTATCATGACGATGACCCCTAGCAACTTAGTCGACCGCCTGGAGTTGCCTTGAGGCTGGCTTGGTCCACCAGATGGGAAGGTTGGTCGAATTGCAAGTGGAAGTCGTCGTTGGTCAACTCCTTGATGCTCCAGAACCTCTTGTCTGCCCTCCCCTGGGTGTATGCTCGAGTGTTGCCCCCCCCCCCGTATCCTTCAAGCCAGTGGACTAGTTTGCAGAGCTGGAGGAGACTTACTTGCGCTTCGAAGAAGACCACAGTCAGGTGATCTGAAAGTCCACCCACTGCTTATGGATCTCCAAAGATCAAGCGTGCTTCAGCTCCTTCCTCTTGTCGTACTACAACGCCAGGAAGAAATGACGGGATCGTGCGATTCGGGGCGTGGCGAGGAGTGGTCGACCTACTCTTCAAGGGGGTTAGTGATGGTCGGTGCGACCTCGACATCCTACTCGACCCCTTATTCCGGCACCTTCCCCGACCTCGCTGCGTAGTATACGGGTTCCCAGGGTGCGGGGAAGGGTCAGATCCCGCCGACCTGTTGGACGCCGTGAGGGTCTCCGACCTTACTTACCCATGAATCTCCCAGTACCGAATTTTGTCCGAGCCCCATCCCGGGTACTCGGTGCCGCGTCTACGGGACAAGTTCGTCCGTAAAACGTAAGTGCTTCCGTAATATACTTGCACCCAACTTTTTCAGTCTCTGTCTTGAATCTCTGTTTCCATTCTTCCTTCGAACCTTGCGCCACTTTGTCTTCTTCACCACACTCCGCGCTAAGGACCAAGGTCTTCTAACGAGGGACCGGGGTCCACCTCGAAAAGACCGGATTCAACCTTTAAAGATCAAGATCTACCAACGAGGGACCAAGGTCTACCTCGAAAGACTAAGGTCTACTACCGAGGGACCGAGGCCTTGACAAATTCCAAGCAGAAACAATTATAGTGAATTGCCGCATGGGATTTCTGATCGGTTATTCTGAAAATGTTGTCAGCTGTCACATTTTTGTTCGACGGAACACAAGACAGGTTTCGTGTCAGACGTTAAAATAGATCAAGATATCAAATACAGTTATCGCAATGACAGTGGACACAAACGAAAAGTAAACCCGTGGTTGCAAACTTTTCCCGAATTTATTCAAAGAGGTGACATTGAAGACTTTGCCGGGGAAGATGACGAAGGTCTCGATATTTCTTCTCACGCGATATTTACTACTGGTTCAAACAGTTTAACAGCAATGTTGACATGGAATCGCTGACGTCGGAGCTGTCAGACTCTTCAGACATGTGGCGTGGGCGACTACTCAGTCGAGTGCCACCGGCCGAGCCAATCGACACGGCGCAGAAAAGTGCTACGTCAAGTGAGGCAAGCTAAAATTGAATATTATGGGATGATATCCTTTGGAACAGCTCCCTGCCTGTTATGGATTATGCGTGTGAAGCAACGCAAGAGGGCAAAATACAGGAACCAGCTCTCAACCTATTGCAAAATTAAGTTTAAGTGAACAGGGCGATGAATGTAAAACTGGTGATCTTTCGGTTAATGATGATTCACGTGGCGATACTTTAAGTGTTGATTTACATGACAAAATGCTTGATGGCGAATCTACTGACGACGAAATTGCCGCTGATAATGATTTTGCTGAATTGGTGGGGCATGTTACAGGAATGTCCGCGGTCATACGTGCTTAGAAAATTGGAAGATTACGATCTTTTGTTTTGATCCGGGTGATCAGCTTGAAATTGAAAGCGATGAAGATGTTGGTGCATTAGTTTCCACGACGCAGAATGTATTAGCGATTATGCCGGAGCACATCATTGGTCACACACATCTCCGCGACATCGAGATTGTAAGGGGACGTGACAGAAAACGCACCAAGGTGGAGACAAAGAGAGCACGAGCAAATTTGGGGCTCCATGAGTTTAGCTACTTTGATGATTATGCAGTCGGATCATCTTTTCGAGTACTACATGCCGACATACGAGGCAATGGTGGCATTAATTCAAGGAATGTAAAAATCCAATGAATCACAGGGTAGCCATGGCATCAAAATACGCAAAACAGTGGAAAGAGGCAATGGATGTTGAAATGGCCGCGCTTAAGGACAAAGGTGTACTGGAAATGATTTCCAAATGTGAAATGACCAATTGGAAGTAAAGCAATCAAGACTATGTGGGTCTTAGATCTCAAAACGGACCATTTGGATAATGTCGTCAGATTTCGAGCGCGGATTGTTGCGCGAGTCGACAAACAACGTCCCGGAATTGATTACGTGGAGACACTTAGCCCAGTGGCTCGAATGGCTATGTTCCGATTATTTGTTGCAGTGTGTGTACAATTGGAGCTTCCAAGTTATCAAAGTGAAATTAATACTGCGTATTTAAATGAAACGTTAGGTATTAAACAATACCTGGAATCATTGGAAGGCTATCCGTGCGAGATGGATAATACGATTTACGTTATCAACAAAGCTCTTTACGTCGTGAATGGAATTCAGAAGTAACTGGCTGGTTTATTAACTTCGGTTTCGAGCAGTGTCGCACCGAACCGTGCCTATATTACTATAGGCGGGATGGCGAATTTGCGATTGTTCTACTATACGTGGATGACATTCTGTGTGCTACAGAAAATGTTGAATTTAAGACGAGCATGTTTTAAAAACTGGATAAGGTCTATGAACTTAATGATCAGGGCTTTTTCAACACTTATTTGTTGTCAAGAAGACGCCTTGACCAGCTGCGGAATACCGGCAAACACCGGTATGACCTTCACACAGTAGTACCGCAATCATTCCTGAGATTATGGGACAATGTTTACGCCACACGTGGGTACAAGATTGTGGGTACATGATGGGATCTACGTGGCACTCGCTGATTGGCTAAAGTAACTCAGTATCCAGTAAAGAATCCAGTAGTGTATCTAGTAGGTAGGACAAGAGGCTTAGAGGTAGCAAGTAGCTTGTGAACTAAGGACCTAAATCAATCACTTTGTATTTTGCACCAAACTACGAAAGTGACCTTTTCTTTATTATTTAGGCGTGGAAGTGGAGCAGAATCAAAGTTCCATTAAGATTCACTAGACCAAATGCTGTGGAGAAATTGTTGAGCGATTTAATTTCGGCGACGCCACACCCTAGCAGAATTCCAATGGAAACGACTTTACGATTGACTGCAAATGACATGGATACTGCACAGCGCAAGCAAAAACCAGGGCATGGAAAAGTATTTCCGTTTCGTGAATTAATTGGGTCGTTAATGTACCTGGCTACGTGCACAGGCCCGATTAGGCTTATGTTGTTGGGCAGCTTAGCAGATACGTACAACAACCAACCCAACAGCACATCAGTGCAGCCAAGAGAGTGTTACGATACGTTATTGACAGTAAAAGCCTGGGAATAGTATACACAAATACTTCAGAGGTTAAGTATACAGGCAAGCTGACGATTAATGGATTTTGCGACTCGGACTGGGCCTGATACCAGAAAAAGTGTTACTGGTTATGTGCATTGTATTGCAGGGGGTGCCATATCGTGGGCATCACGACGTCGAAGTATGGTGGCACAATCAACTGCTGAAGCAGAGTATGTTGCAGCATGTGAAGCATGCATGGAAGGACAAGGTTTACGCAACTTATTTATTGAAGTATTTTCGCTATATGGACACAGAGTATCGACTCGGCATTGATAATCAAGCAGCGTTTATCATGTCGACCAACCCAACCTATAGTCGCCGTACTCGACACATTGAACTGCGTTGGCACTATGTTCGGGTTCAGGTGGCAAAAAGGACCGTGGAACTTTGAAAAGCCAAGACCGAGATTAATCCGTCAGATTTGATGACGAAACCACTTGCCAGTGGTCGATTGGAGAAGTTGAGTTGCATGATCGGCATGAAGAAGAACCATGTTCCGAAGGGACCGCCTTCGGACATCGGCGTGTTGAAGTAGGCTTTTACTTGCATATATATGTATAGGTAGAAATCAGTATACGCTATGTGGGACTTGCATGCATACTAGGTACGCTTTGCAAGGTCTCCTCTTTGTCTAAAATATCTTCTCTTAACAACCAGTTAGTATTTGCGTGGAACGCATAACTTGTTATATTAAGTCGAATAACAATGTCCAAGCTAATGGTTCCAAACACCCAGAGAGTACGGGTAGGCTTGCGAGCGGAGCAGTTGTGTGTGGTGCAGGCTTCACTCTTTGATACGACCTAAACAATTGCACGTATGCCTTCATTTACTGTACAATTTAAGTGTCGCTTTTTTCGGTGGTAAAATCCACTGCCGAGTATCGCAAGATTTATTTTCTGATACCAGGTCATTTTTTTGACGCACACCTTTATCAGGAGGCCAGCGCACAGGTCAAGCTGTGAAGAGACTTTTCTGACGATATGACTCTTGCCGCTCTATCCGGATCGCGGTCATCTTCTAGACTCAAGCCTCCCGTACCTGTGACGAGTTCGACTAATTTCTTTGTAGCGTCTATCACCATTGACTCTTCTAGTTTTGATAGTTATCGGCCATCCCGACCCGTCTATTCCCGGAAACAGCATCATTGATGGCGAATCTTTCGGCAAAGCATTCAGCGATTTGGACAGTGCCATTAGTAATTCCATCTCAATCAGGAACATGATTAACGTGCTACTATCGCCAGAAGAGCATTCTGCTATACCTTGCGCTGGGGTATCACGTTATCACTGAAAAAAGGGTATTGTGATCAAACTTATTGATCTTCAGTTTAGATTGCTCCATGGTCGGCACGACGTATTACATGACAAGTATCTCGTAGTTGGATGTGGAGACAAGTTCTCGTCACTTCTCCTAGCCTAAGAATTTCCTTTTTTTTCGTCCGTTTTGATCCTCTTCGTACGGCGTCTACGTCGCTTACTTTTACCTCCTTAAGGCTCAACAGAACCCAGTTCTTTCCCAGTAGGGCGCTTAGCGCCTACTAAGCTCCGCACTTTCCCTGCGGCAATCCAAAGGTTTGCCCATGAGGCATCGGCCCTTCGATGTCACATATGCCTTTCTTGCGGTGCATTTTGCCATCAAATGGCCTGTGCTTTAGCAGATACAGCATCCGCGCACAAGTTTTTGCTCCGCAGCATGAAGCTCAGCTTCCTCATCCTCTACTTGACTACAGTCCATAGGAACAGGTCCATCAGACGAGTATTTATAAGTGGCAGGCCTAGCGGCCTTGAAAGCGGGTCTAGGCATTTCATGCCCACTCCAATATCTTCCTTAACGTGAACCGTTTACCCGGAAGACTTCCGTACTGACAACGCCAACTCGAAGCCCCTCCATTATGACCGTGACGGTCACAGCCTTAGACAGAAAGTTAATGACCATAGCGGCATAGAGATTTCTTAACTCTCGCACAAATGCCGATAGTTTACACTTACCTTGGCGACATGCAAAAAACTGCACGATAAGATGTATTCGCTGGCGTGGTACACATATTTTGTGTGTTACACACACCGACCCTGATTCGGATCCGGATCGTGACATAGTTTGATGTGTACATCTTAATTACTACGTGGAATGCCATATGTAGATTGCGATTCATTGTAGATCGCTATTCTATGTAGATTGCTATCTTACATAGAACGAAATCACTAAGTGGATCGCTATCGCTATGTTGAATAATGCAAGGGGATGGATAAGCAATTTCATATCTGTTTTTTTACTTGATGAAGCTCCAGACCCTTAAATGTTTGGTGTAGGTTGACCTATTTTACGGGATCTGCTAGTAACTGGTATAGCCGGCTAAGTCGATGGGCTCGTAATTCTTGAGATTGAATTAGATAGATTCATGGCCCCATATTGTGGCCGAAATGTACCAGTCGAAAGACAACACCATGCGCTGTAAATGATCGAATGAGACTTCGTAGGAATATTTGTATCGGCTAATGTGGCAGGTATGCGTGCAATAACCGCAGTTAAGACGGATTGATCGATGTTCGACGTGAACACGTGGAACATTCTATCGATAACTTATGTGATCGCTATTTTGCCCAATAGCTCACGATGTTACGCCTCTCGGATGCTGGCGATCTGATAGACACTCTGAGCGCTTTGTAGCGTGCGAAAAATCAGCAACGCAAAATTTTAATGGGAACTAGTATATATTGACAGAGAGCTGCAGCGGCAGCCGCTCAGACGTCATCAAGATCCGATTGTGCGTAGAAAGCTGTTCGTGTCGATCGAATGAAAAGTAGTAGCAGCGATTCCGAGTCGGATGTCAATGGATCGGGGCCCAATTATAATCAACGTCAAAAGCATACTACAAAAACGTCGGATCACAATTCAAAGGCAGGCAATCCACCGAATCGATCGAAGGATCCCGATCCAGCTAATCGTCGTGATTGATCTGCTATGAAGAAACAATGCAAGCATTCTGAATTGACGAAACATGACGAACGTGGATGTTGGAAAGGTCTTACGTGTCAAAAAATATCATTGCAAAGGACATCCGTCCGACAAGTGTTTCTATGTGTGTGCAGATTGTGGAGACGTACATGAGGGTGGTAAATGTCCTATGGAATATTTTCACAACATGTTTTGCAAGTGGTATGTCCCGACTAAGCATTCTGGGTTGTTTCCACCGAAGATGGAAAGATGATATTAAATTAGGACGCTCGCAATCTGGTACGAGCTCAGCGCTCTAGGCTTTGCATTATGCATTTGTGGAAAAACAACAGGTTGATTAAAGATGTAAAGGTCGGATCAAACCGATAATTAATACAAGGGACATAAATTTTTTGGAATTCCATATCAGTTATAAAACAAGTTGATGAAATCCTTACGATCACCCACCAGAATGGAGATTGATTTAGCGCTGGTCTTGTCATCTATATAGTGAAAGCTTCACACCCTAAGCAAATGTTTTAAGCAAGTCAAAGTTAGAAAACAGCGATAGAGCCACTTTGCATTTCGATTCGAAAAGGAGCCACTTTGTTACTTGATTTGGGAGCTGAAGTCGCGATATTCGACCCAGCCTTTACTCGTAAGGTGGGATGGGTTATAGACGAGAGATCGAAGCATGAATGTGTAGAAAACGGTGGGAGTATGTATATGACGGAGGGACAAAATGGAATTAAGATCACGCTAAGTAGATAGCTAGTATATACGTTGATGCTTGGTTGGCTACCCGGTCGGCTAAAAGGCGATCGTAAGAATTAATTCTGAGGTTCCAGCTAGTATACCATTGAATCTGGCAGATGGGCATTTTGTTCGACGGATGAATTCAAAATAAGTCTGACACGACCAAAACCGCCGTTTTGCTCCATTATGCAGGCAATAAATGTGAGCGATTAGCATGTAATAATTCCAGTAGGTGAATCGGAAGTGAGGGTCGGTATAGGCTTACCCATAGCTAAGCTTTAAGTATGGTGGGATCCCGAATGGGTACTAAAGAACCCGGCAGAATCAAATCTCTGCCCCTGTCAAACGTTAGTGAGTAAAAGGTGATACTCCAACATGGATTGCCTTTGGGTCTATGGATGGATAACAATATGATTTTACAATCTATAGCTTATGTTTCGCTTTCATTTTGGTGCTGCAACGAATGGCAAACACTTGCCCTTGGAGCCACCGCGGATAAGAAGAAAAAAGTGTTCAATCAAGAGACTTAATCGCTTGTTTATGATTAGCAGAACTCTACGTCTACTAAGACATAAAGTCGTTTAGGAAAAGTATTAAAAAGGGCTACAAAGTCGGCAGAAGCTGCATCGTTAGTCGATGAGGACGTGATCACGAAAGCAAAAACATGGTGAGAAGTGTGAGGATCCAGAATCACCGAAGCCAGTTTTTGTGATCAACGTGAACAATTAGCTTATGGACGTCGATCAAGCTTCAAAGAAAATGAACCGTACTTCAGTTACAACAAAGTCGAGCACGATCCACTGTAAAGCGCAAGACTTAACTGATAATTTTCGAAGTCAGTGCGATCCATCGGTTAACATGTCGACTTAATCGCTACGGGGAAACTTTAAGCAGACGACGATAAAATACAGGAAGTCGACCTACTTCAACGCAGGTGAAGATTGTTTCGGGACACGTCAATCCTATCAGAAATTGTGACGCCTACAGCAGAATTTACTATTGAGAATATTCAAGTGGGCGGTAAAGATGTGCCTGTAGCCAAGCTATTGTAGCTATGCTACTTATGCACTATGTGCAGATGCACTATGTGCCGAAGAGGTAGTCAAACTACTGTATCAAAGCTACGTATGCACTTTGTGCAGAGGAATACAAGCTCAGAGAGCTTATATGGCTTAGGGTGTTTAACCCTCCTAGGCTAGCTCGTAAGCTTGTGCCAATCGATTGTTACAACCGCGTCTCAAGAAGACAAGTATCAAAGATACTGATTCCTCATGAGGAATCAAACGCTAAAATTGTAAGGCTTGCAGAGCAGGTTTGAATCTGATTTTATATTTATGTTTATCGTCTAACACTAAATATAGAAGCACTTACTCTATACTTAGTGCTAGTCACTATTTACTGGCTCTATAGCCTGTTATTATTATGCAAATATGCATAGTCACTATACTTTAAATAAGTATAGTGACCACGTGGCTATCTGCCACGATGCGACCCTTCGTACCTTAGGTACGGTCACCTCACCTTCTTTTGTACCCAAGGTACAGCCACACCACATTGGTGTGGCAGGTGTTTATGTAAAATACACACCTTAGTGTAACCCCGTTACACCCTCCCCCCACCAATCCGTGGGACCCGACGTACCCATAAACTTTCGCACTTAATGGGAGTCATCGATTTCATTTTCTTCCCATTTCGCTTGCC